AGAAGGGATTGCAGTGTGACCATTCCCCATGGTCTTGCTTTCCATTTCTCTCTGTCTCCCTGTCCTCTCCAGTGAGTGAACACTCTCCATGGCAAATTTGAAGAGAAGAGACAATAAAGCTGGGCCAAAGGTTGCAAATCAGTGGCCCATGGTCAGAGTTATTCTGCAGATGTGTTTTCTTTGGCCACTTTGGTTTGGACACTTACAACTGTTTTGAAATTTTTAGAGTTAGTCACCAGCACTTTTAAATCGGATGATTTCATGTAAAGATCTCTCTCTCGCTCTGCTTTAAAAATACATTATCGGGAAACTGGCCACTCTGGGCTACACCCTTCGTGCAGCCACAGTGGCCAATAAGCAGCATCCCCATCACCTCTCTTGCCCCAATGGGATGAGCTGTGGAGGTTGGAACTTTGTCTTCTTCGAGGCACCTATAAACAGAGCATGCATTTTCCGCAGTCTCCACTTTGTTCTAATGTGTCCCTGTCACTGAGGCTGTCAGTTGCCACTTATCCTAGTTTTAAGTGTTGTATTTCTTTGAAGATTAAAAGAAAAGTGAGTATTTCTGAAATTTGTTTTTCACTCAACATAGAGATGTGAAAGAGACTAAGAGGGCAGTATGTTTAAAGAAAAGCAACTGAAAGGATCTGAAAGGATATTTCTTTGTAGAAGGGAAAAATATCATCTGCTTAATTCAGCAAGCCTCTGTGTTGAAAAGATTTATCTTAAGACACTTTATTTTTGTATTTGTGTTACCCACCTGGTCCCTGTAGACATTTTACTGAGACTCAAGGTCAGAGTCACCTCTTTGGTTACTGCCAAAATACTACCATTCTTTTTGAGAGCCCCTGCAAAACAGAGCCAATGCGTAAGAAGAAGGAAATCTAATTTGGGTAATGAGATTTTTATCAAAAGTAATGGGCGACCAAAAATTTAAAAAGAGGGCCAGCAGGTGGTGTGGAGATTAAGGCAGCTGATCCCCACATGGCCAAGTCCACAGTTTGAAAATTACTCTGGGTATATGTGTGTTTGTGCCCAAAACCGAGGAGAATGGAGGAGAAGAGATTGTGGTGTGGCCATCTCTCCCTCTCTCTGTCTCTGTCTCTCTCTGGCTAGCACACATGCCTTATAGCAAAAACTAAAATTAAAAAAAAAATTTTTTTTAATTTGTTTAAAAAGCATCAGTTATTAGTTTGCTTATAGCTGTCTAGAAGAACACAAAGTTCCAACATCTGTAGCACTGTGAAAAGAGGAAAGAGGCAAACCAATTTGCTTTTTCTACCCTAGTCTAAGGTAGGAAGGAGGGCCAGCAGATGGCGTGGTGGTTATAGCACTATACTCCCACATGTCTGACTGGATTCCCACCTGGTTTGAGTCCCAGACCTGGTGGCTTGCTTTCTCACTTTCTCTCTCTCTCTAATGAATTAATAATAAGTAATATTAAGTGAATATGTATGTATTTTTTGAGAGACATTTTTGCTATGGGGTGTGTGTGCTTGCCAGAGAGACAGAGATAGAAAGTGAGAAATCACACTTTCTGTGATGGCCATGCTTCAGTCCCTTCTCTATTCTCCTCTCAGGATCTTGGACATGCATGCACATGTGCCCAGCGCGAGTTTAAAGCTACTGGTTCTGGTACTCGAACCGCTGTCAACTATGTGGGAGTCCAGCAACATAACCATTGCACCATCTGCTGGTTCGTTAAGTGAATAATTTTTAAAAATAAAAAAAATAAAGTAGGAAGAAAGGTCAACTTCAGTGGCACAGGGCTCCATGATACTGAGGCTATGTAGGAAGGTCCCACGTTCATGTCCCAGCTCTCTGCACACCCCGGGTGTATGTCCTGAGCATGTATGTCAGCTGAACACCTATGCATGATTTCTTCCACGAGCAAGCGAAACAGCGAGAGAGAAGCAGTTCCTAAGTACATGAGGTTTTTAAGTATGTGAGGATTTGGTGTTTGCCTGTCTACTAAGCTCCCAGAGGCAAGGGCCATGCTCACCTTGCTTTCTGCTGTTTTCCCAGCACCCAGTGGAGACCGCTGAGCATGGTTCGTTAGCTGATCATGCATGCAGCTGTCAACAGCAGAGAAACCCAAGCATGTGCTTATTTATGCATTCATCCTGCATCAAGAATTTAAGGCTCTGGTTGCATTTCTTTGTAAGCATAGTAGTTGGGGTAAAGAATAGCAAGTGGCCCCCAGAAGACTTTAAAATGGATAATCCAGGGCCAGTCTCTGGTTTGATGGTTATGGTGACTGGATCCCACATGGCCCTCTGGCAGTTTGAGTCTCAGACCTGGAGACCTGAAATATACTCTGGGCATCTGTACCTGTGTACCCAGAATTTCAAAAGGAGGAAGACAAAGAGGTCAAAGGATTACAGTGCGACCACATGCTCACCAGTTCCTATGGGGAGTGCTTTCTCACTTTCCCTCTCTCTCTCTCTCTCTCTCTCTCTGGTGAGCATGTGTGTTCTCTGGAAAATTAAAAATAAAGAGTAATCCAAAGTCTAGATAGTTGTTACTTCCTAATTTTAGACTGTGCTTGATTGAGTATAGATCCTGTTTTGCCTAATAATGATGGTCTTGATACAACTTCCTGTGTGTCCAGCTCTTTTGTAGTTTCAGTTGTGCTGCCATCTACTTAGTATCCATGGGTCCTTCCTTATGGAGAAGGTAGGGCAAGTGTAACCCCAGCTCCACAGATGGTGTGGCACAGACCAGGGTCTGAATCATGTTGGTCTCTTCTCCCTCGGCTTCGGTGTCTTCTCTTCAGTCCTCATTGCCTGCCTCTTGCTCCCCGATCTCAGCCCCTTGGTAGGGAGTCAGTCACCAAGTCCTCCTCCCTCCCTTCCTCTCACTCCTCCTGCCTCGCTCAGGTCCCTGTGGTTCCTTACCTGGGTCACGGGGCAGCTTCCCAGCTAGTGTCTGTACCTCCAGGCATGTTGCATGTTCACTGTGGCCAGAGTAAACTTTGTAAACACAGATTTCATCATTGTCCAACTGTTTAATTGGAGTTCTTCAATATCTCCAACATTGCCTTCAGGACAAAGTCCACACCCTTTCACATGGCTCCCAGGGCCATTCACGGTAGCCTCATTCCTCACCTGCTCTGTCCCCAGACTCCTTTGCAGGTGCCTCTTCCCCTGCCTAAGGTGCTACCCACCTGACACGACCACTCTGCTTGTTCCCAAGTTCTCATCCCATTTACCCTAACCGTCCTCCTTACCTCCTGCTGAGAAGCAGGGAACTGGGCCCTTGTTTGGGAGACTCACGTGTTCACCTCTGGGCAGCACCAGCCTGCCATAGCGTTACCTTAATCATCTGTTTGTTTGTCAGTCTCCTGCTGGACTGTGCTTAGTACCGGGGCAGTGCAGTGTCTTCTCTTTTTTTTAAAGAATTATTTACTTAATTTTATTTATTATTATTATTTTAATTTTGACCAGAAACAGACACAGAGAGAGAAACAGAAACAGAAAATAAGCTGTCAGGTACGGGACTTGAACCATGGTCGCCCAAGTGGGCGTCTATCACCTTAACCAACACACTACCTGATGGCCTCAGTGCAGTGTCTTCTCATCCCCGTATTTTAATAGTCAGCCTAGTGCCTCTCCCAGAGTAGGTCTTTGGGGAAAGGAGGAGTGAGAGGAAACAAGTTTGTCTGATTTTAAAGTTCATGTTCTTTCTGTTTTTTTTTTTGCCACCACCTCTCACCCCTTTGCCTCCTCTGACTGTCACCTTCCAGTCTTGGGTGGCTGAGGTTATGAGTTGTTACCCGTAGAGTCCCAATCAGCTTGACTTCATTCCCAGGCCACCCTGGAACAAACCGAGCCTGGCCTACCTTCTGGTAACTGCATCTCAGCGAGGAGATGACTCATGTGTGTGTGACTCAGGGTGCGGGCCGCACAGCTGGAGAGGCAGCCAGTGTGTCTGTGTGGGGGATGGTGGGTTTCCAGAGCAGCAGGATGCAGGCAACTGTTCGCCAGGATCCTGCAGCCCTCCAACCTGTTAACTAGGACAGGGATATATTTCTCTGTCCATGGATGAGCAGAGGGTGAGAAGATTTCTATATCTGGATTCTGTCTAACTTACTACCACATTAAGTGGTATTTTAATAAGCCACCATTTATTGCATGCTTATTATAAGTTACAGGCACCAGGCTAAGCATCTCGCCTACAAATTATCTTATTTAATCCTCCTAGTAGCCCAATAACAACAAAAATAATAGCAAATACATAATTGAGGGGACTCCAAAAAATTCATGAGAAAAAGGAACTTCAGTTTGGGTTTATTTTGGTGAAAAAAAAAATTGAATCCATGCATAGATTTTCCATAATATGTATTTCCATGAACTTTTTGAAGGCCCCTGCATACAGCACCTACTGTGTGCCAGACACTGTACTAAGTACTTTGCGTGGATTGATTCATCTAATTCTCAAATAAGCCTATGATGCAGAAACTGTTACCTTCATTTTACAGATGAGGAAACTGAGCTGCAGAAAGGTCACCCAGAGGGGCTCCAAGGTCACAGTGGAAGTAAAGGACAAAGCTGCATTCACACTCAGGCAGTCTGGCATTTGAGTCCACATGCCCAACTCCCATTCTGTGCTTCTTCAGTGTGGCATAACTACGGTCCCATCTTACAGGGGGAAATTGAGGCACACAGAGATGAGTCACTGACCCATGGTCGCACAGCCAGGGAGCGCTGAAGCCAGTGAAGGAGAGTGGCTATCTCCCACGCCTGGCTCCTACCCACTGTGCTCCCTTGCCCATACTCAGGGGACGTGCTGTCATCACAGTGTGGCCTTGCTTGGTTCTCCTTCAACCTCCCCATTGGCATATTCCTGAGGGCCACCTCTAGATACTGGGTGGGATTGTGGGGCGGATGCTTTCTTCTGAGTCCAGTGGGTGACACTGGATGGCATGTTCTTTTTAGTTTGGGATCCCAGAGCATTTCTTTTCTCTGGGGATGCTGATAGGCCTCTTCTTACCTCCACAGACAGCGAGACCGTGCACTACCACTACGGCCCGAAGGACCTGGTCACAATCTTGTTCTACATCTTCATCACCATCATCTTACATGCCGTGGTCCAGGAGTACATTTTAGACGTAAGTGGTGTGTGTAGATTCTGCAGTCAGAGACAGGGAGGTTGCCCTGGAGGAAACTGCACTCTGAATCCATTTGTCCTCTAATCTGCATCCTCTGGTTGGTCCTGTGGCCTGGATTTCTCTCACCACACTTTGGTCTCTGTCCCCTCTCACACCCTTCTTTAATCAACACACAGGACAGCAGTTTATTCAGAACATGGGAAGAAAGCTGTCTGTCATATGATGAGGCAGTGTCCTGTGGGTTTGTTATATGTAGCATGATTGAGGAAGTTTTCTTTAGGTGTAGGCTAAAGGCGTTAACCGTGCTCCTCAGCACTGTGTGCACACAGTAGGCCTACACTAAATAATTTGGATCATGACCAGCCTCAGACTTCTAATGATGTTCAACCCCTTTGTGGAGAGAACATGGGAGGTTAAAACCTCCCAGCATGGATGCACTCGTATATTGATAGGCAGGATTTCCTCTCTTTAGAAAATCAGCAAACGGCTTCATCTCTCCAAAGTCAAACACAGCAAGTTCAACGAATCTGGACAGCTGGTCGTCTTTCATCTCAGCTCAGTGATATGGTGCTTCTACGTGGTGGTGACGGTGAGTGGGCCTCGGGCTGCGGAGGGGTGGGAGCCCAGGCCTGGAGGCAGCTGCTCCTTGGATTGCTAATAGAATGATGGGCTCAGTGGGGAAGAAGAGTAAGAAACACGTTCCTTAGACCCTTCTTGGATTCTTAGAACTGAAACTTTTCGTGTCCTCATTGTATTGCCCTGAGAGGCCAAGTGGGACAGATGCCGTTTTATAGCTGGAGAGTCAGCTCATCCGAAAGGGAACACTTGTTATAACTATTATGTGATATTACAGAATTGGTGCCATGTACTGCTTTACAGGCCCTTCTATGGCACTATCCCGTGAGATGAATGGAATGTTCACCCTGGGGTTCATTTCATAGATTGAAGAGTCCCAAGCTCAGATTTTACAGCACACCCATGGTCACATGGTTGTGAGGTGGCAGGGATGGCTTGGGCTTGGAGATCTGGGTTCAGGCGCGACGTCCTTTTCATTTTCCTGCAGTGGCCTCCTATAGGCATGCTAGCATCACCCTGTCCACACGTCAGAGCCTGTGAGAGTCAGTGCTGTTCCCACCAGTGCTTGCGGACCAGACTGTTTCTCTACTTCTTTCCTTTCCTTTTTATTTATTTATTTATTTTCAAGGTTTTTGCCATAGGGTGCATGTGCTCACTAGAGTCATTGAACGAGTGAGGAGCCCGCTACCCCCACCCC